AGTTCTCAAAGTAAAACTCATTAAAGACAGAGGTCCTACATGGGGAGTAAGTGCACAGTGACTCCTGTTGTTAATTTAACAATTAACATTCTTATTTATGACATCAGTGATCACCTGAGGCTCTTGCCATAAGCTGCCAAGGCTATGGAAGCCTTTTGTGACCACAAACTCCATCAGTATTTGGACAGGGTCATAAGCAAAGTGGAAGTTCTCTCTGACCTTCAGAGAAAAGTATATCCTTTGATGGCCCCTTCTTTCCACTGGAGTATCACTCACAGAAATCCTTCATGTAGGATATTTTTTTGCCACAGTGACTTGGCTTTCCATGCCTGAAATGCTCTCACAGGCCTTTCAGCCAGATCAGGAAGCCTTAAGGGCTGATTCTGAGGTCAGAGTGTTGCTTAAAGTGATTGTCATTCTATGAGTCGGCTAAGTGGACTGCTTCCCACGTTGGACATTCCCTTCGTCGTCGTCTTCTTTTTTTGTTTTAAGATTTATTTATTATTTGAAAGTCAGAGTTACAAAGAGAGAGAAGGAGAGGCAGAGAGAGAGAGAGAAGTCTTCTATCCACTGATTCACACTGCGCCCCCATGCTGGCCCCAAAATTCAGAATTTAAAACACATTTGGTTAAAAGGGTTTCATATAAAGGATTGAGGACGAGGCCGGCGCCGTGGCTCACTTGGTTAATCCTCCGCCTGCGGTGCCGGCATCCCATGTGGGCTCCGGGTTCTAGTCCTGGTTGCTCCTCTTCCAGTCCAGCTCTCTGCTGTGACCCGAGAGGGCAGTGGAGGATGGCCCGAGTGTTTGGGCTTTTGCACCCGCATGGGAGACCAGGAGGAGACACCTGGCTCCTGACTTCAGATTGGCGTAGTTCCGGCCATGGTAGCCATTTGGGGAGTGAACCAACGGAAGGAAGACCTTTCTCTCTCACTGTCTAACTCTGTCAAATAAATTTTTAAAAAATTATTAAAAAAATAAAGGATTGAGGACTTTTATATTATGTATTTATGTTTTAGTTTTTATTGAGGGTATTTATAATACATCCTATGTATTTGTAAATATATTTTATAAAGTATCTATGACTAGTTGGTAAAATTGATGCTGACTTTGTTGGTAAAATTTTGACTGCCGCACGATCAAAAATAGTTTTATGAGCGTTTTCTTAAAAAGCAAAGAAGAAAGAGAAACCCTAGCACTTTCTTTGCTACCATGTAGACTTTTCTTGTGCTATTTTAAATGCAGTTATGGAGATCAAATTCCCTGGACCTTTTTCACTCTGTTACTGCTGAGTCTACTGCCGTGTGGTGTGCCCTTCTGCTCTCTGCTCACGTAGACAGGTTCAAAGGATACTTGAGAGAAGCTCTAGAATATAGAATAGCCTGTCTTTCCTTAACTGCCCAGTGGAGTTAGCTCATGTACAATGTAGTATTCTTTGATTGTGGAATTTGATTCAAACTGAATGAAGCAATGATAGATTTTGACTATGCCTTGGCCAGTGCCGCAGCTCACTAGGCTAGTCCTCCACCTGTGGCACCAGTACTCCAGGTTCTAGTCCCGGTCGGGGCGCGGGAGTCTTTCCCAGTTGCTCCTCTTCCTGTCCAGCTCTCTGCTGTGGCCTGGGAGTGCAGTGGAGGATGGCCATTTTATAACATGTTTATTATCTAAAGCCAAGCAAAAGTTGGCAGCTTTCTTCCATTGAGATGTCACACAACCTGTTGAGTATGCAAATATCTTTTGTTTGTATGCTAACCAGTTCAGCAGTAGTTAGCCAAGTAGAATTGATGAAGATTACTAATAGTACCTCACATCTCATTTCCTCTTCTATGTAATTGTTTAGTTGAATGGCATGAGGTGATAATACCCGAGAAAGGAACATGTTCCTAAGAGTGAATTAAAGTCTTTTATCAGTTACATATATTTTTTACTCCAACGAATACAGATTTTTCTGGGAGCCGATACAGACAATTACATTGTACTAAGAACTGTGCTGAAGCATTTCAAGGAGTAGATATTCTGAAGGGAGAATACATATAAATGGTTTGTTTTGCTAATGAATTTTTAGATAATCTTAAGTAAGGCCACACTTAATGAGTTTTACATGCCAACTAAAATGGTTTCATCTATACAGGTTGCTAATTCTTAATACATACTACATATATTTGCTCAGTTTTTAAATTTGGTATGTCAATAAAATGATGTCTTCATAGCATCTTAAGTTGATATAATTGAGCAGTATATTTAGGGTTTTGTTTTTAAAGCAAAAGAAGGGTAAGCCAAAATGTTAATCTTTGACAAATATAGTGAACAAAAATTTATTGAGAAAGTTCTAGATGGAGAAATCATGTAGCATCAACCTAGCAATCTCAACATATCCATTTGTTGACCCAACTTCCCAATAAATAAAAGTAATTTTTGATGTTGAATGATTTCAAGATTGTCTACATTTTCTTTTGGGGATTGTTCTGTGATTGAGATGAATTAAAATGTTGGCAATTACAGTGGTTGCTTAAAACCAACATACAGCAAAAAGGATCCTTTTCCTAAAGAGCTCTATTGTTTTGCCCATGGGACCCCTTTCGTTCAGGGGAGGGGTGTAATTCCTAAAAGATGCCAGAACCTCGTTAAACTACTGCTGGATTGTAGCCAGACATTCAGTTGGTCAGGACCCCAGACTCCTTTGAGACCCTAGAAGGAACAGTTGTGCCTGGGACTGAGGTGTGGGGGAGGGTAGAATAGGATTTTTTACACAGTTAATTGTGTATTTGTTATATAAAATGGAGCTAGTAGACTTTTGGAATTATTTTAAGCCTTAAATACTAATACTAGCATTCCTAGTATTAGTCTTACCCCTTTTTCAGTTAACAAGAAACAATGCTTATAGTAAGATTAGCATTTTTTCTTGCATAATTCTGAAGAGTAATACTTACTTCCTTTCATTTAAATTAGAAATTTGACTAGAAGTGGTTACTTCAAAAGGTTACCATTTGATTCCTTTTAAGAATGCAAAAGTATTATAACAGTGTAATCCTTTTTGTACACACTGTTTACCTTTTATAGTTTCAAAAATGTTTTAAGCTTCCTATTCATTTTATTTATTTTATACTTATGTGGACATGCACACGGTTAAGAGTGAGATGTTGGGTTTTTGCTTCCTTTTTTCTTTTTTACACTTTTGTGGCACTTAGCATTTCATTTTGCTGAATTTGTCTTATAACTCTTATAATTAGAAGCACCATTTTAAAACCTAATAAAATGACCTAATTATAGTCATTTTGGAGCTACAATTTTTTAAAAAAGATTATTTATTTAAGAGGCAGAGTTACACAGAGAGAGAGGTCTTCCATCTACTGGTTCACTCCCCAAATGGGCATAATGGCCTGAACTGAGCCCATCTGAAGCCAGGAGCCAGGAGCTTTTTCTGGGTCTCCCACATGGGTATGAGGGCTCAAGGACTTGGGCCATCTTCTGCTGCATTCCTAGGCCATAGCAGAGAGCTGGATTGAAAGTGGAGCAGCTGGGGCTCAAACTGGTACCCATTTAGGATGCTGGTGCCTCAGCCTGAAGCTTAACCTACTATGCCAGAGCACTGGCCCCTATTTTACTTCTCGATACATCCCCATTCTGTGAATATTCTACCTTTGTCTTACTGATGAATAAGGAAGGATTGAAAGGAAAAGGAGTTATGAGTTGCCCTGTTTTTACCCTTTCTTCTAGTCATCATATTCCCCTTAAGTGATTGTCTAATGTTAAGTAAGAGGAGCAAGAAAGGACATGATAGATTTCCTTGGCTGTTCGTGTTTCCTGTAACACCATTGCCTTTCTGTGTTTCAAGCAACTTGTGGTCTTTAGGGCTGTGAACAACCTTTTTTTTTTTTTTTTTTTTTAAATGAGAATTAATATAATTTTCTTTGTAACCATGGCTGGAGAAGAGACTTAATTTTCTTGCTAGAACTTTTGTAGACCCTTGTCAGAAGGAGCTCAGGTTGTAACCTGGGTTTAAGGAAATTGATTATATGCTGTTAAGCATTTGCACAGTAATAAATTGTTTAATAGGAATTTAAGAACCAGATCAGAACAGAAGTCTCACTGTTCCGTTTTCTGGGAAGAGACTGTTATTTCGTGAGTGTGGAATATTTTTAGCAAATTAAAATTGCTCTCTAGGTACAGTTAATTTATCCGTTATGACTTTACCCTGTTTTAAGGTAAAACCATACAGAGTTGAGCGTCAACGAATAAATAAACCTCTGTGCCAGAGATTGGCAGACTTTTTGGGTCGTGGTATCGTTCCAAGTTGGGGTTAGGCACACGCTGGTGGTTGTAACTTGGTAATTCAGATGTCTCACTTTATCACTGCTGTGCCCTGGCTGCTATGCGGGGATAACATGAATGATTTAATAACTTAAAATTGTGGTGATATTTTAGTTGTCTGATATTAAAGTGATTGAGACCTGAGTTAGTATACCTGAGCAGTCCCTTTCCTGCACTATTTCTTCTCCTGATGTTTGTTCTATTTGGGTCACTTTGTTAGTTATTGTAAATGTTGATGTGATCCCTCTAGTTCAGGTACTTCTCCTTAATAATGCTGTATTCACATTCTGCATAAATTATTTATTCTCAGGATAAAAAAGACAGAGGAGTTATTGAGAAAAGTCAAATATATTATATAAAACTAATGTATAGCTTTGACTATAATTGTGGCTGAGATGATGAATAAAATGTTAAAAGATCTATACCTTCTGTGAAGTGCTTTTTACCCTTGCATTTTTAGATGGCAAATAATTTCATAGTCTCCTTAAGAAACCATATGTCCTTGTTTGTTTCTTAGCTCTCACTATCAAAGATTCACCTAACTGAAAAAGTAGTTTAAATTGCTTCTCATAAAAGGTTGGCCTTTACAAATTTTGCTGTTAGCTTTTCATTATCACCAGATGTTTACTGTCTAGGGACAATGGTGTATAAAATTAAGGGAGGAAACAAATCAGTATGAACCATAGCAGAGTTAATGTGTTTTCTCCCAGAGCACTCATTTATTTACTTAGATAAATGAACATAAAGCATTTAGCACTTGCCGGTACACAGGATGCATGCAGCAAATGTTTTCAAAATAAAGAAAAATTCAGGTTCTTGTAAGCATTAGTATTAATAATCTGAGGGATTTCCAGGCACTGTAATCAGTCTTCTATCTTTGAGATATGAAAGAAGCAGGAAGTAGGGCGTAGGACCTGCAAGGAAACCGGAAGATTACCCATGTTTTCATTTCACATTCCACTTGAACTATCTTGGAAATACAGGGGAAAACATCAAACAATGGTTGTATAAGTATTTTTTTCATTTGTGTTTGTCTCTTTATCTGCTTTGTATTATATTACCATTTTAGAACACCGGGGATGGAGTGTTCTATGTCTGGATATGTCTGGAATGTCTTTAATTGATTGATTATTTTTAAAGTGGAGTTTTTTTTTTTTTTTAAGATTATTTATTTGAAAGTCAGAGTTATACAGAGAGAAGAGAGAGAGGTCTTCCATCTGATGGTTCACTCCCCAGTTGGCCACAACGGCTGGAGCTGTGCCAATACAAAGCCAGGAGCCAGGAACTTCTTCCTGGTCTCCCACGTGGGTACAGGGGCCCAAGGGCTTGGGCCATCTTCTACTGCTTTCCCAGGCCATAGCAGAGAGCTGGATCAGAAGAGGAGCAGCCAGGTCTAGAACTGGCACCCATGTTGGATGCCAGCGCTTCAGGCCAGGGCATTAACCCTCTGTGCCACAGTGCCAGCCCCTAATTGATTTATTATTAATACAAGAAACAATGTGGTTTCTTTTTAAAGCTTATTTTCCTTTTTTATTATTTGAAAGGCAGAGTAAGAGAGAGAGAGAGCATGCTCCTGCATCTGCTGGTTCCCTCTTGAAATATCCAAAATAGGGCTGAGTGATGCTGAACTCAGGAGCCAGGAACTTCATCTGGGTCTCCCTAGTGAGTGGCAAGAACCCATGTATATGACCCATCCTCTATTAGCTTTCATGGTGTGAATTAGCAGGAAACTGGAGGTGGCACTTGATCTCAGGCACTCTGACACAGGATGCAGGCATCCTAAGCAGTGGCTTAACCTGCACCATAATACCTGCCCCACAGTGTGGCGTTTTTGGTCAAGGAGATAACTGAATTTTCTTCCAATTCTCACTATTAGAAAGAGATACAAAGTAATTCTCTTAAATATTCATTAAAATAAGTCTGTGATCCCCAAAATAAATAGATCATGCAGGTCAGTCAGGTTGTGGGGAGAACCAAAAAGACATATAAACAAGAACATTGAACCTAATTGTATTATAAATGAATAAATGAATAACATAATTACACTAAAGGGGCTGGGGAAGAAAAGACTAACCTAAATTACTTTGGTAAACTAAGTCTAAATTAAAAAAAATATACACATACATTGTACTCTGGTTAGTTTCTTTCTCATGGAGGTATGGGGTAGCAATTCTGCTTTTTTTTTTAAAGATTTATTTATTGTACTTGAAAGTCAGAGTTGCGCAGAGAGAGAAGGAGAGGCAGCGAGAGAAGTCTTCCATCTGCTGGTTCACTCCCTAATTGGCTGCAACAGCCAGAGCTGTGCCGATCTGAGGCTAGGAGCCAGAAGTTTCCTCCAGATTTCCCATGTGGGTGCTGGGGCCCAAGGGCATGGGCCATCTTCCACTGCTTTCCCAGGCCATAGCAGTGAGTTGGATCAGAAGTGGGACAGCCGGGACTCGAACCTGTGCCCATATGAGATCTTGGCACTGCAGACAGTGACTTTACCTGCTATGCCACAGCGCCAGCTCCACAATGCTGCTTAAAATGTATGCTTGTGTTGAACAAATAAGTGAAAATATTGAGAATAGTGAGACCTAGATTTCTAATTCTCCTTTGTGGAGACCTAGAAATAGTGACATTACAGTAGCATTGGCAATACTACTGCCCAGATCTCGATCTCTAAGTACCATTCGCTAATAAAAGAAACTCTGGAGAAATAGGTGATTCCAAAGAAGAGGAAATAAAAATGAAGCTGGACTATTTAATTGTGCTAGAAAGTAAGGAAATATTAAAATATGATAGGTATATGTGGAAGAATATAATGAGCTTTAGGAGGTACTTCGTTGGTTCAAACTGGGATAAAATAAGTAATGACAGTACTGCATCAGAATCGGTAGAATAAGTGCCTATGAGTTCATGTTAAATAAATAAGGAAAAAAGGATGACTTTTTTCAATTAATAAACTATTTTTAGAGCAATATTAAGGAATAGTTTTTTTAAAAGCAGAACTCTAGTTAATAAGAGTAGAAAGAATGATGGAAATAGAAAGTTGTTAGGTAAGCACTACAACAGATTCTTGTTGCAGTTAGGAACTAATCACAATGAATTAGTGTGCACTTAAATTAGTGGGTGAAAGTGTTGTAAGAAACAGGGTATTTGCATAATCTCAAACTGTCTTCCCCACAAGATACTTATTCATTACAAAGAGAAACCTAAATTACAATGGCAAAACCTTGGGACTACCCTAACCATGGGATACATTGAAGTCTCTCAGGAAACGAGATTTGAAGAAATGAACATTAAAAATCTTTTTGGCTTTTATTAATGATTCATGAATTGAGCAGCATCTCATCTAAATATTTACAGAAGTGCTTTGATGTACTGAACAGAGAGGAGGTAGATTTTATAGACAGAAGAAGATGAAAGAAATCAGGAAGAATGTGGATTGGTCATTACAAAGGTTACTTTCCCTTTAGGGTTAAAATAAAGGTGACTTGTTTATTATGTCAGCTCAAGTAAACTTGGACCCTTAAAAAAAACTGACCCCTTTAAAAAATTTTATTTGTTTATTTTATTGGGGTGGTGGGACATGGAGGGAGAGATATTCCATCCACTGGCTTCACTCCCCAGATAACTGAAACAGCTGTAACAGACCAGGTCAAAGCTAAGCTGGAGGGCCAGTGCTATGGCTCAGTGAGTTAAGCCACTGTCTGCAGTGCTGGCATCCCATATGGGCGTTGGTTTGAATCCTGACTGCTCCACTTTCGTTCCAGCTCCTTGCTACTGTGCATGGGAAAGCAGTGGAAGATGGTCCAAGAGCTTGGGCCCCTGTACCCATGTGGAGACCTAGAGGAAGCTCCTCGCTCCTGGCTTTGGCCTGGCCCAGCCCTGGCCATTGTGGCCATTTGGGAAGTCAACTAGCAAATGAAGATCTCTGTCTCTCTCTCTCTGTAATTCTGACTTTCAAATAAATAATCTTTTTTTTTTTTTTTTTTTTTTAAAGCTAAGCTAGAAGCTAGGATCTCAGTTCCTATCTCCCAGGTGGTAGGCAGGGACCCAACTACTTGAGCCATCACCTGCTATCTACCAGGGTCTGCATTTTATTAGCAGGAAGCTGGAATCAAGATCAGAACTTAAGACTCAAATCCAGGCACTCTGATATAGGGTGGGGACATAATAAATGGCACCTTTTTCTTTTTGAAAAAATATTTTATTTATTTAAAAGACAGAGTTAGAGAGGGAAAGAGAGAGAGGTCTTCCATCCACTGGTTCACTTCCCAAATGGCCAAAACAACCAGGGTTGAGCTAGGCTGAAACCAGGAGCCAGGAGCTTCTTCCAGGTCTCCCATGTGGATGCAGGGGTCTAAGCTCTTGGGCCATTACTGTGCCAATTGCCCACTTCCTGGAGGTTAACAAATCTTGTAGGAAAGTTGATATAATCATTAGTCATACTAATGTTCTGTGCAAACTTATTTTTCTATGTTTATATGTATGGTAGGTCCTGTGTTTTCGGTATTTATTAGTCAATTATTAGTTCTAGGATTATGTAATTAAAGAAGGAAGTGGTGAAATATTTGAATTTGTGCTGTGTGTTATGCTCTATGTGTGTGTGTGCTGTTGATTTTCATTGTTCTTCAATTCCATATTTACAAATTCATCTTGCTTACAAAATTTATTTGTAATCCCAAAATTGATACTCAAGCTACTTTTGTGGTTATTCGAGGACATGTACAGAGCTGTGAAAAATTTAAGTCAGCTGATGCAGATATTCACAGCTGAGGTTGAACAAGACAACACCTTGGCTTCTTTGTTTCAACTCTTACAGGTGTTCTTTTCACAGCCTGGTAGTGCTTTATTTTTCTCATTTTTGTGCCTTTTGCTGGTGATTTTACTCTTCAGAATGGCCCACAAATACAGTGCTGAAGTGTTATCTGATGCTTCTAAGTGCAAGAAGACTTTTCTCCATATGGAGAAAATATTTTTATTTGCATTCAAGAATGAGTTATACCTTAATTGTAGTACTGTTGGCTGTGAGTTCAGTGTTACTGAATCAACAATATAATTAAATAAGGTGCTTTTAAACAGAAATATAAATAAAACAGTGTTATATCTTGATTGTTGACTAAAGTGCTATGACCAGAAGCTCACAGGGACCTAACCCTGTATTTCTCTTAGAAGCAAGGGTTCATTGTTCATTGATTCAGTGTTTGCATTATAAATGTAGACTTTAGCCGGCGCCGCGGCTCACTAGGCTAATCCTCCGCCTTGCGGCGCCGGCACACTGGGTTCTAGTCCCGGTCGGGGCGCCGGATTCTGTCCCGGTTGCCCCTCTTCCAGGCCAGCTCTCTGCTGTGGCCAGGGAGTGCAGTGGAGGATGGCCCAAGTGCTTGGGCCCTGCACCCCATGGGAGACCAGGATAAGTACCTGGCTCCTGCCATCGGATCAGCGCGGTGTGCCGGCTGCAGCGCCCCAGCCGCGGCGGCCATTGGAGGGTGAACCAACGGCAAAGGAAGACCTTTCTCTCTGTCTCTCTCTCACTGTCCACTCTGCCTGTCCAAAAAAAAAAAAAAAAAAAAAGACTTTATATGCAGAACATGTGAGGATCAATTGTGTATATGTGTATGAGATTTATATGTAATATATATAACATTATTCTATATTAAATGTCATTAATTACATTCCATATATTAGTAATATATTGCTGTTATATATTAGTAATATATCAGATATATCTCTTATCCTTTGAAAGTATTCATATCCTTATAATAGGTAAGGAAAACGAGGGTAGAAACAGTTGAGTGATTTGACAATGTTACAGCAAAAATTCAAGATTTGGGGACAGATGGTTGGCCTAGGAGTTAAGATGCTTACAACTGATACTGGAGGGCCAGAGCTCAGTACCTGTCTCTGGCTCTGGACTCCAGCTTTCTGTTAATGCAACCTTAATGCAGAGAAGCTGATGACTCAAGTGACTGGATTCCTACCACCCATGTGCCAACGAGACCTAGGTTGAGTTCCCCTCTTCCACCTCTGGCTCCTCAGGTAAATGGGGGAGTGAACCAATGAATAGAGCTCAGTCTGTATGTTTTTCTGTTTCTCTGTCTCTCAAATAAGTAAATTAAAAAATTCAAAGCCTGGCTTCAATGTATATGCTTTGCTTAAAAAATATAATGTAAAAGCACATGAAAATATACCTTGGTATTAAATTAGATTGCAGGGATAGTAAGATTTCCCTCATATTTTTCTGTTTGAAAATTAATTTATCTTCCTTTTAAAGTCAAATTCAACATTATATATATATTACTTTTGTTTGTTTAACAGTTTCTTTTTTTTGTCAGTGAATGAAAATGACATGTACTAATTAGGGTAACCTTTTTCTAGATAGTTTTTGTGGATTCTGTTTTGGGATTTTATGTTTAACTAGTCTTGGGAAACGTGAAACAGCAAAGAGTTTCATTTTCCTTAAGTAAGGTCTTCTACTTTTAGAGTGTATAATGTCTGCAGAAGAGAAGAGTATCCCATTGATTCTTTACCTTTTCATTACTGCTTTTGATCCCCTAAACAGCAATGTGAGAAATTAAGAAAAAAATATTAAAAAAATAAGCGAATGCTGTGACATGCATTTGTTCTTTATAAAAGTAATCAGATTTTCATAGTGATAGTTAATTATCCCTCCATTTGTCTCCTAGAGAAAGAATTGAATAATTAGTTGCCTCTTGCTGCTTATTGTTTATAATTAGAGGAATTAGTATGTATTTAACAGAAATGAAAATAAAATAGACCAAGAAAAAAAATTAAAAAAAAACCACTTCACTATAATCAAAATAACTGATACTAAGGTCTATTCAAAATACTCATACATTTATTCTAAAGAATGTTGAGAAACTACAAAACTAAACTAGAAGGAAATGTCTTTACTAAAGGGTACAATTAATTAAAATATGCAGGAAAACTAATTGGATTGTATTGTTTTTACTCAGACTTCTTAACATTGCTTCCAGTTAAGGCTTCTGGGTTTTAGTTGGAAGATGGGTCATGCTGACATTCCTGAATGTGCATTCATAACTCACACATCCTGCCTAGAGTATGCAAACATCTGTGGAAAGCTGAGGAGTTTTTTAAGGCACTGTTTAGTACTTGTGTGCATATGTGTGTGTGTATGTGTGTATGAAGTCCAACTTAAGAGGAAAAATTTAGCAAGCTTCAGTTAATTATATTTCTCTTTAAATCAAGCAGAGATTCTAGGAAAATCCAGGAAGTTCTTGGAAAATGCACATTATCTTTTCTGAAAAATTTATTTGGAAAGCAGAGAGAGAGAGAGGGACAAACACTAAAGAGATCTTCTATCCATTAGTTTACTCTTTAAATACCTGTCATAGACAAGCATGGACCAGGCTGAAGCCCAGAACTCATTTTGGAGCTGCCATTTGGGTGGCAAGGACCCAAGTACTTAAGCTATCACCTGCTGCCTGCTAAGGTGTATATTAGCAGGAATCTGGAACCCAGACATTGTGCTATGGGGTGCAGGAGTCCCAAACAGTGCCTTAATTGCTGTGCCAAAGCCCACCCCTTACATTATCTATTTCTTTTTTAAGATTTATTTATTTATTTGAAAGGTAGAGTTACAGAGAAGCAGAGGGAAAGAGGTCTTCCATCCACTAGTTCACTCCCCAAATGGCCACAATGGCCAGAGCTGGGCTGATCTGAAGCCAGGAGCCAGGAGCTTCTTCCAGGTCTCCCATACAGGTGCAGGAGCCCAAGGACTTGGGCCATCTTCTGCTGCATTCCAGGACATAACAGAGAACTGGGTTGGAAGTGGAGCAGCCAGGACTCAAACCAATGCCCATAGGGGATGCCGGCACTGCAGGTCGTGGCTTTATTTGCTATGTCACGGTGCTTGCAAGTCAGAGTTACACAGAGAGAGAAGAGGCAGAGAGGGAGAAAGAGAGAGGTTTTCCATCCGATGGTTCACTCCCCAATCGGCCGCAACAGCCGGAGCTGTGCCGATCCGAAGCCAGGAGCCTCCTCTGGGTCTCCACGTGGGTGCAGGACCCAAGGACTTGGGCCATCTTCTACTGCTTTCCCAGGCCATTGAAGAGAGCTGGATTGGAAGTGGAGCAGCTGGGTCTCAAACCAGCGCCCATATGGGATGCTGGCGCTTCAGGCCAGGGCATTAACCCACTATGCCACAGCACCAGCCCCACATTATCTTTTAATTCAACTTTTCTGCAAACTGTTTTTGGCAGACAAAATTTATCATCACTAAAATTTTTTTTCCCTTAAAAATCTTGTCTATAGCACTGATAATCATAGTACTTTCTATACTATTTGGAAGTAAAGCTGTCCCTTTTTAACAGTCTTGTTTGACTTAAAACTGAATGGTACTTGGAGGAGAGAAATTTTAGAAATTTGGAGTTGGGAGGTAAGTGGAATCAGAAATGAGATGCAGACAAGAAAATTCCCTTCCTGTCACCCATCTCCCAAGACAGTTCCACTGAGAAATTCCTAGTTGGGAGAGCAGACAGGTTAAGGGAGAACTGTTGGGTTTTCCTTTGGATATGGGATGGAGTGAGGAAGAGAAATTGATAAGTTGGTGTGCAGTGAATAACATGTAATGTCTTTTTAAAGTTCATTAACTTTTTCTTAAGCTCTCTTCAGTAAGCACAAGTGTATGAATGGCAACTACCATTTCTTTGATCACAACAGCTCATTGAGCGTCCTCTTTTTGTAGTTCTTTAAGTTGGCTATTTCCAGTGTCTGACCTCTAATGAAATTTGCATACTGTTATAAAATAAAAGATAAGGAGCTAGATAGTAGTAAAAAAGTAGCAACAAAGATATGAATGAGGATCAGATGATAAAATAGGGAATGTTAGTGAGAGCATCTCTAAATTCATGCTTTTGATATATGATATTGATGAATGAAATATTAAAGGAAAAGATAGCTAGACTCAAAAGACATTTAGTATCTCCTGGAAATGAAAAAGCAAAGTGTTGCATATAACCAAGCTCCGGGGCCAGAAATTGGCAGTAGTGAACAGGAATTAGGTTTCTGCAGGGTTAAAAGGATCCAAAAGTGACCATTTGAAAAAATCAGTCAGAACCAGGATCCTTGCATGTAGCCAGGAACTCCCCTTGAAAGAACACCAAAAAAGAACAGCATCTTGCTTTTTAGGGTGAAAAGCTTTTCTCTGTAAACTGCAGACCTAAGGAATAGAGGTACTCACCGTGACCAGGAACTTAGCAAAGGTACTCACATGTTCTGCAGTATCCCCAAGTGTCTTCACAGAGTTGGAGTCTGAAAATCACATTTGAAAATCTAGTTAGGAGGCGGGCACTGTGTCATAGCGGGTAAAGCCACTGCCAGCAGTGCCAGCGCTCCACTTCTGATCCAGTTCTCTGCTATGGCCTGGGAAAATAGTAGAAGATGGCCCAAGTTCTTGAGCCCCTACACTCATGTGGGAGACCTGTAAGAAGCTTCTAACTCCTGGCTTCAGATATGCACAGCTCTGGCCATTGCAACCAACTGGGGAGTGAACCAGCGGATGGAAGACCTCTCTCTCTGCCTCTCCTCCTCTCGCTGTGTGACTCTGACTTTCAAATAAATAAATAAATCTTTTTTTTTTTTTTTTGACAGGCAGAGTGGACAGTAAGAGAGAGAGACAGAGAGAAAGGTCTTCCTTTTACCGTTGGTTCACCCTCCAATGGCTGCCACAGCCGGCGTGCTGCGGCTGGCGCACCGTGCTGATCCAAAGCCAGGAGCCAGGTGCTTCTCCTGGTCTCCCATGGGGTGCAGGGCCCAAGCACTTGGGCCATCTTCCACTGCCTTCCCGGGCCACAGCAGAGAGCTGGCCTGGAAGAGGAGCAACCGGGACAGAATCTGGCGCCCTGACTGGGACTAGAACCTGGTGTGCCGGCGCCGTAGGCAGAGGATTAGCCTATTGAGCCGCAGCGCTGGCCATAAATAAATCTTAAAAAAAAAAAAAAATCTAGTTAGTTCTGGACTGAGGTAGCCTGGAAATATGCTGATGAGGTGGTAGATGGGAGTTGGAAGAAAGAAAGAAGAAAAAATTTGAGCCTATAAACTCACATTTCAAAACATCCCAAAGAAAGAAGCACCTTAGAAATGATCCAGAAGTGACACACATATGTGAAAAAAAATTTTATGTGGGTTTTCCTTAAAAGGCACAAAAAATAATAAGAGAAAAATAAATTTAATCACATTTAGAAATCCATACCACAGGAGGCATCAATAAGTGAAAAAGAAGTTAAAGATTGAGAAAAATATTTATAGCATATTAAGTAAGAATTGTCCAAAATATGAAAAAATAATTTTATGAAAGCAATAATCCAAAGGGGAAGTGAAAAAGGATTTGAATAGCTAATTCACAAAATAGAAAAGCTGGATGACTGATGATTATCTGAAAAGGTACATCCTTAATCATAGAAATGTTCAAAAGGGGACTAAAGTAAGGGTCTCACATTAGCAATTAAATGTTATGGCTGGAGGTAACACCTACTTATTGACCAGTAGGACACGGAAATAATTTTTTTTTTGACAGGCAGAGTTAGACAGTGAGAGACAGAGAGAAAGGTCTTCCTTTGGTTCACCCCCAAAATGGCCGTTACAGCCAGTGCGTCGCGCTGATCCGAAGCCAGGAGCCAGGTGCTTCTCCTGGTCTCCCATGAGGGCTCAGGGCCCAAGCACTTGGGCCATCCTCCACTGCTTTCCTGGGCCACAGCAGAGAGCTGGACTGGAAGAGAAGCAACCAGGACAGAATCCGGCGCCCCAACCGGGACTAGAACCCGGGGTTCCAGTGATGCAGGCGGAGGATTAGCCATGTGAGCCATGGCGCTGGCCAGAAATAAATCTTAAAGCCACTGAAATTTTGGGATTGTTACAGCATATAATCTAGTTTATTTTGACTGATACAGAAATTACGTAAATGTCTTGAGAACCAGAATGAAGGGGGAAGCTCTGGAGTACATGTCTTGTAATAATGTTGAGTTTTCTTACTATTAATATGTATTACTTACTTCAAGTAAAATTGCTTTGTATAGAGATAAGATTAAGAGATGTGTAAAGACCAGTAAAGAGGCTTATTAAAGTTGTTCAGGCAGTTGATGATAGTCAAGAGTAATGTGATACCTTGGATAAAGAACAGTATATATAGATGAAGTCTAGAGATATACTGAAGATAAAATTAATTGGATTTAGTGATTTATTGGATGTGTTATATATTTCTGCAGTGGAATTTTTACCGTGAACATGCAGTACTTTTGTATGCCAAAAATAATGTTAAGTAAAAAATAAAGCAGGTCTCTAACCAGATTTCATTATCCTCGGAGCCTTAAAACTTTTACATTCTTCTAAAATTTCTCTGAGCTAGTTTGATTTCTTCACTTCATTTTGTGCCTTCTCATCGTTACAACACTTCTCTACTTAAGATATTACATTATGCCTCTGCCTTTACGAAAAATATCTCTTATTGTTTCACCTTCCTCATATCTATTCTTCCATATTTTGAGCAGTCTAATCTCTCTCAGGTGTAATTGCAGTACTACTTTTTCTATGCTCATAGAAGAGCTGTAAGTCCCTCTTATCTGCAGACCAGAGTGTATAGGACAGAGTATATGAATATACTTCAAAAAGTTCATGGAAAATCAATTAAAATAAACATTTATTTTGCTACAAAAAATGTTGAGGTCCATGAATACTCATAACATTCTTTCTTACTAATGTTACTCCTCCTCTCTCATTTATACATACATATTCACTTAATCTTTGTAATTAATCAGAATTTGATGAATTATAATTCCTATTTCTGAAGTTCCTACTGTTCTTGAATGCCTTGGTACCTCTTGATACCCTTCTTGGCTTTTTAAAAAAGATTTATTTTATTTATTTGAAAGGCAGAGTTACAGAGAGGGAGGGAGAGACAGAGAGATCTTCTGTCCACTGGTTTACTCCCCAAATGCCCGTAATGGCCGGAGCTGGTCCAATCCGAAGCCAGGCGTCAGGAGCTTCTTCCAAGTCTCCCATGTGGGTGCAGGGGGCCAAGTACTCGCGCCATCTTACGCTGCTTAACAGGGAGCTGGATTGGAAGTGGAGCAGCTGGTACTGCAACCAGTGCCGTATGGGATGTCAGCACCTACCCACTATTCCACAGTGCCCCCTGCCCCAAGCTTTGTGACTTTTCAGGATCCATCACAAACTTTCCGTCTTTCCACATGCCTCTAGCTAGAAATTTTTGCACGTGTCCATAGCATTTTACTTAATTTGGTCATGGCATTTTCACTTCTAAACGGTTCTTCCTTTATTGCCTAACTATGTTATTAGCACTATTCATCTTATTTCCTAGGTCACAAATCGAAAGGTGGTCTCTAATTCTTGATTATTCCCTAAGTCTTGCACCTATCTCCACCAGAGCATCCAATAAGACACCAAAATAATCCTATCCTATTCCTTCCTTCCTTCCTTCCTTCCTTCCTTCCGAAAGGAGAGTTTTTTTTTTTTTTTTTTGACAGGTAGGGTTATAGACAGAGAGACAGAGAGAAAGGCCTTCTTTCTATTGGTTCACTCCCCAAATGGCTGCCACGGCTGGAGCTGCTCCTTTCTGAAGTCAGGACCCAGGTGCTTCTTCCTGGTCTCCCATGGGGGCATAGCGGCCCAAGCACTTGGGCCATCCTCCACTGCTCTCCTGGGCCACAGCAGAGAGCTGGACTTTAAGAGGGGCAACTGGGACTAGAACCTGGCACCCGCATGGGATATTGGCACTGCAGGTGGAGGATTAGCCAAGTGAGCCATGGCACAGGCCCCAATCCTGTCATTTCTAATGGAATTATCTAACATTATCTAGAAGTAACTGTAACGTAAGAAATTATTTTCTTACCCCTCAATATAATTTTGAGTTTTTTTTTTTTTTTTTTTTTTACAAATGAGATGTTCAGAGAAGCTAAGTAACTTGGAGAGAGTCAGATGTTAAATTTTTTTTATGTGATTTCATGGCTTGTGCTAGCTCAGTTTGACTCCATAAATATTTCTGTCATCCATTCCCTTCTTATTTCCCTCTTTCCTGCCTTTATCAGTTCTCTCCCTGTATTATTATAATAGCCTTCTAATGCTACAATGTTCTTCAGTTTTCATACTCTGCCAGGGTACTTTTCTGAAATAAATCGATTAATTTTATTTCGCTGTTTAAAATTCTGCAGTGGTTCCCTGTGTCCTACAAAATGAAGTTCAAACTTCTTATCATGACACATCCATCATCTGGTTCCTGCTTACATTTTCAGCATCATTTCCTCCTATTCCCCTTCCCCCACTCTGCATTCCAGCAACACTGAACTATTCCTGGTTTCTGGAACTTAACACATTCTCTCCAAACTTTCACTCATGATATTCCCCTTGCTTGGAATTTCCTTCTCTCTTGGACTTCCTTGTCAATCTTCACTTGTGTATCACAATTCAGTTCAAGCTGTGTTTATGTGATATTGAAATTTCTTAATATTCTTTAATGTTTCCTGGAGAGATGGAGAAGTGTTAGGCTTGTCACAGTTCTCTTTTCTTATTTCCATTAGAGCACTTACCACGTTGTAGGGGGTGTATTTGTTTTTTATTTTTGTCTTTGTTTACAGTGAGAGAGAGAGAGACAGAGAGAAAGGTCTTCCTTTTGCCATTGGTTCACCCTCCAATGGTCGCCGTGGCCCGCACACCGTGTTGATCCGATGGCAGGAGCCGGGAGTAGAACCTGGTGTGCTGGCGCTGCCAGGTGGAGGATTAGCCTAGTGAGCCGCAGTGCCAGCCAGTAATTAATATCTAACATCAGGTTTTGATTTGTTTCTTACTGGTTATTTGAAGTTATGCTGTACCATGCTGTTTCATTCTGTTATCACAGTGGTTTTAGCCAGAGACAGTTTTATACCTAAGGATATTTGGTAATATGTGGAGACATTTTTGGTTGTGACAAGTAGAAGATTCTATTAACAATTTTTGGATGGAATATAGGGTTCTGCTACAAAATTGTACAATGCAGGATGGGTGGTATATCGAGTTAAGCTGTGTTTACAATGCCTGCATCCCATATCAGAGTGCTGAATCAAGTCCTAGCTGCTCTACTTCCTATCCAGCCTCTTGCTTATCCATCCTGGGAGGTATGATGGCTGAAGTGCTTAGGCCCTGGCTGTTAAGGGTATTTGAAGTCTGAACCAGTGGGTCAAAGATCTATCCATCTGTCTCTTTTTCTCTTTTGTCATTCTGCCTTTCAAGTAGATGAAAATGAATAAACTTTTTTAAAAAAGATTTATTTATTTGAAAGGCAGAGTTATAGAGAGAGGAAGAGACAGAGATCTTCTATCCGCTGGCTGACTCCCCAGATGGCTGCAATGACAAGAGCTGAGCCAGGCGGAAGCCAGGAACTTCAGGTCTCCCACATGGGTGTCAGGGGCCCGAGCACTTGGGTCATCTTGCGCTACTTTCCCAGGTGCATTAGCAGGGGGCTGGATCAGAAGTGGAGCAGCCAGGACTCAAACCTGCACCCACAGAGGATGCTGGCAAGGCAGGCAGCACCTTAACCTGCTGCTGCATAAGGCCAGGTCCTAAATAAACATTTTTTTTTTTTTTTTAAATCTTACAATGCACAGAACAGTGCACACCACAAAGAATTACTTAGCCCAAACTGGAAGTAGTGTTAAGGTTCAAAACCTGAGTTAGCATAAATAATAATAAATTGAGTATAACTCATGACTCATCTCATGCTTTCTTTAATTATATAGTCTGTGTTGGCTCTTCATTTTATGATTTTATATTTAAATCTAAAGTGATTGGAGAATGAGATGTTGCCTAATGTATAGTGCATGGATGCATCTGTTATTTCTCAGATTTCACTGTTAAAATATTTAAAGTCTTTGTTTGATATAGTACTGCCATTTGTTTCTCAAGTTTTCTCCTCAATTGGAAATTTAACAAAAGTGGCCAAAAAAAAAAAAAAAAAAAGTGGCAGAGATAGATCTGTTTTTCTTAAACTAATGATAAACTAGTTCTCAACTGATTAATCTACTCCTTTGAAGTTTGACTTGGCCGTGTTCTGTAGTCCTTTGAGGCTGAAAATCCTAGTTCCATCTGCCAGTTAGTAAGGTAGCATCTGTGTAGAATTTTCAAAAGTATTGCTTTGTCACATCTAGAGGTTAGCAAGTCCTCTGTCTAAATTTCATCTTCATTAAATCTTTGGGGTTTCTGTTAGGATTATCCGAAGAAACGGAACCAACAGGATATGTGAGGGATTTCAAAAAGCCCATGGGAAATGTGTGTTTATGAAAAGCTTATATATGGATTTCAAAATTTTTGCACCAAAGAAAAATTTTTAAAAAGACTTATTTAATTTATTTGAAATGCAGATTCACATAGAGAAAGAGAGATATCCTCCATCTGCTTGTTCACTCCCCAAATGGCCACAATGGCCTGTGGTAGACCAGACTACAGGGTTGGGAAGTTAATTTATGCTCTTATTTCATATCATAGATACAGTTAAATGAAAGATGGGATATAATGATTAACAGTTAAAAAAATGAGACAGAGAGAAAATACAGTAAAATAGAAGTGAACTTACCCAATCTCTGGAAGCAAAAAGCCTTTCTATATTTAGTCTGATGGGAAAATAAACAAAAAAGGAAATCTTATTAGACTGGCAATATAAAAGTTGAACCTTTTGCATTTAATAAAACAGAATCTCTATATTCAATTATGTCATTTGGAAGAATTGTTCTTTTGATTCCTAGCACAGTGCTTCTCCATTGCACCATGTTTTATGGAATTAATAAATGCCTTCTTCCTAATTTAATTTGTTCTGTTTTTTTTCTGGAGTGGATCATATCATAATCCCTACAAATATGAATATTTTGGTAGGAATTTATATATAAGTAAATGGCTACATATGGTAAAAATTTAGGACTTTTAATATTAGATGTCTTGGAGTATGAATGAGCATACTCAGGGTGGATATATATGCATATATATTCATACAGTGGCATTTAACAAAATTCTTATAGCGTGTGTACTTGTTATTTTTAAAAATTTTTAAACTTTTATTTAATAAATATAAATTTCAAAAGTACAACTTTTGAATTATAGTGGCTTTTCCCCCCATAACCTCCCTCCCACCTGCAACCATTCCCATCTCCCACTCCCTCTCCCATCCCATTCTTCATCAAGATTCATTTTCAATTATCTTTCTATTCAGAAGATCAGCTTGGTATATACTAAGTAAAGATTATAACAGTTTGCACCCACACAGATACACAAAGTATAAAGTACTGTTTGGTAGTAGTTTTACCATTAATTTGCATAGTACAACATATTAAGGACAGAGATCTTACATGGGGAGCAAGTGTACAGTGACTCCCATTGTTGTTGATTTAACAATTGACACTCATTTATGACGTCAGTAATCACCCAAGGCTTTTGTCATGAGTTGCCAAGGCTATGGAAGCCTCTTTTTTTTTTTTTTTTTGGACAGGCAGAGTGGATAGTAAGAGAGAGAGACAGAGAGAAAGGTCTTCCTTTGCCGTTGGTTCACCCTCCAATGGCCGCCACGGCTGGTGCGCTGCGGCCGGCGCACCGCACTGATCCGATGGCAGGAGCCAGGTGCTTCTCCTGGTCTCCCATGGGGTGCAGGGCCCAAGCACTTGGGCCATCCTCCACTGCACTCCTGGGCCACAGCAGAGAGCTGGCCTGGAAGAGGGGCAACCAGGACAGAATCCGGTGCCCCGACCGGGACTAGAACCCGGTGTGCCGGCGCCGCTAGGTGGAGGATTAGCCTATTGAGCTGCAGCGCTGGCCTGGAAGCCTCTTGAGTTTACAAACTGCGACCTTATTTAGACAAGGCCATAATCAAAGTGGAAGTTCTCTCCTCGCGTCAGAGAAAGGTACCTCCTTCTTTGATGATCCATTCTTTCTGCTGGGATCACACTCACAGAGATCTTTCATTTAGGTCTTTTTTTTTTTTGGCCACAGTGTCTTGGCTTTCCATAGCATGTATACTTTATGTAGGACTTTGCAGATGTTTTTAACGGAGTTTGTTTTGTAGGACAGGACATGGCTGGATTGTCATTTATTTTGTGGGGAGACAGCATTATTTTAGTCAATTTACATAAAATAAAATTCACTGTTTGAAACATTCAGCTTGTTAAGTTTAGGTAAAAGTATACACTTGTGTAACCACCAGCACAATCAGTAAGACTGTCACCATCATTCTCGACAGTTTTTTCTCTTGCCTGTTTGCCATTGTTCCATATCTCACTCCTCACTTCAGACAACTATCCATATGTTTTCTCTCTAGTTTTACTTTTAGTATTTCATATATAGGAATGACCACCCACTACAATGTAAGTAGAAAAACTGAGTCACCCAATGCTTTCCTTTGAAATTCTGTTAATTTATTTATGGGTTTTTGACTTGTCTATTTCCATCCCTAGATTATGAGCACCTTGATGGTAGGGTCTTGCTCTCACCAAATCACCAGATTTAGAATACTGCCTGCCCCATAACAAGCACTTAATAAATACTTACTCTAATAAATGATTGTTATGTAGGTGTCTTAGAGGCTTAGGCTGGCTTATCTCTTTTTCTGTGGTTTAACCGTTGCTCTGAATCAGGGTACAATAATACTCATGTACCTTACTGCTGTTTGAGAGAGCTTGGGATACTTGTCCTATGAGAGTATGTCAGAAAGTTGGTGGAAATGCATATTATAAAAAACTATACATGGATTTCTTTTTTCGTTTTTTAAAGATTTATTTATTGTACTTGAAAGACAGAGTTAGACAGTGAGAGGAGGAGAAGCAGAGAGAGGTCTTCCATCCGCTGGTTCACTCCCCAATTGGCCGCAATGGCCGGAGCTCTGCCGATCCAAAGCCAGGAGCCAGGAGCTTCTTCCAGGTCTCTCACGTGGATGCAGGGGCCCAAGGACTTAGGCCATATTCTACTGCTTTCCCAGGCCATAACAGAGAGCTGGATCGGAAGTGGGTATCCGGGACTCAAACCTGCTTCAGGAGGTGGCTTTACCCGCTACACCACAGGGCTGACCCCAACGTGGATTTCAAAAAAAGTTTTTGCACCAAGACATCTTTTTGAAAAACAATTTTTACGTATTTGATCGTTTATTAATTTATTTATTTATATTTGAAAAGCAGAGCAACAGAGAGGGAGAAGGAGAGGGAGAGAAAGGTATCTTCCATGTGCTGGTGTACTCCCCAATGCCCACAATAGCCAGGAGTCTGCCCAGCCAAAGCCAGCAGCAAAAACTCCAACTGTGTCTTCTATATGGATGGCAGTATGGCAAGCACTTGAGCCATCATCCACTGTCCTGAGGATGCACGTAAGGAAGTCAGATAATAAGCAGAAACAGGACCCAAAACCAGGCATTGGTGATATGGAATGTAGGCACTCCAAAAGCAGCTTAACCACTGTACCACAAAGCCTGCTCTTGTTTTTAAATGTATTTGAAAGGTAGAGAGGGGCTGGCATTGTGGTATAGCGGGTTAAGCCATTGCCTGCAATGTCAGCATTCCATATGGGTGCCAGTTCAAGACCTGGCTGCTCCACTTCTAATCTAACTCTCTGCTAATGTGCTTGGGAAAGCAGTGGAGGATGCCGCAAATGCTTGGGTCCCTGTACCCACATGGGAGTCCCAGAAGAGGCTCTGGGCTCCTGGCTTCAGCCTCGGCCATTTGGAAGGTGAACCAGCAGATGGAAGATCTCTGTCTCTCTGTCTCTGTCTCTCTCTGTAACTCTGCCTTTCTAATAAAATAATAATAAAAAAGGCAAACAGAGACTGACACAGAGAGATCTTTCATCTGCTGGCTCACTCTCCAGATAGCTGTTGGTTTACTCTGAAATAGCTGAGGTTGGGCAAGGCTAAAGCCAGGAGTCTGAAAGTCAATGCAGGTCTGCCACATAGGTGACAGGTGCCCAAGTACTTGACTGTCACTGTTGCCAGGGTGCTCATTAGCAGGAATCTGGAACAAACTTAGCTTTTCATTTCATTTTTCCTCAGATGTTTTAAAGTAGTCTCATATTTTGGTTCATTATAAAAGAAAGTGCATATGTGTTTGTGTGTTTTAATTAGCTTTGGTTGTCTTTCTCTGTAGGCAGTTATGTGCAAAAAAAGAAAAATAGTGGGCTCAAGATCGTTATTCTTAGAAAGACCTGCTTGCAAGGCTGGCCTTAATGCTGGCATTTGATAATTTTTATTTTGAGTGTTCCTACTATTACCTAATTGACAACGGTGGTTTACTGAACCTAAACTGTACAAACAATATGATTTACGTTGAACATATTCTTTTCTTCTGGGAGTCTTGAATTTTGGATCATATCAGGCAAAGAGAGGATGCTGATGTTACCAGCAACCCAATAAAACTTCTGATACTGAGTCTCTACTGAGTTTCTTAGACAACATTTCACATGTGTTGTCACAGTTCATTTGCTAGATGAATTAAATGCATCCTGTGTGACTCCCTGGGGAGAAGATTTTCAGAAGCTTGCACTTGGTTTCATTCAGACTTTGTTGTAGCTTTTGCCTTTGTTGATTTTGGTTTGTATTATTTTCCTTTAGTAAATTACATTCTTGAGTATGAGAAGACTTCGTGAGAATTTTAATCTTTTTCCCACTGTGCTCTCTTTTGATGTCAAAGGAGGGCTCAACAGAGTGACAGTGTAATATGTTGTGATCTGGATACAGAGATATCAAGGGGTAATGATTTATTTTTTAAGAGATTATTTAGGACCCAGTGTTGTGGCATAGCGAGTAAAGCTGCTACCTGCAGTGTGGCATCCCATATGGGCGCCAGTTCAAATCCCGGCTGCTGCACTTCCAATCCAGCTCTGTTATGACCTGGGGAAGCGGTAGAAGATGGCCCAAGTCTTTGGGCCCCTGCTCCTGCATCGGAGACCTGCAAAGGAGCTCCTTGCTCCTGACTTCAGATTGACGCAGCTCTGGCCATTGCTGCCACTTGAGGCGTGAACCAGCGGATAGGAGACTTTCTCTCTCTCTCTCTCTCTCACTCTCTCTCTCTCTCTCTCTGCCTCTCTGCCTCTCTGCAAATCTGCCTTTCAAATAAATAAATAAATAAATCTTTTTTTTTTAAAAGAGATTATTTATGTAAAAGGATTCACCATACCATGGGAAAAAAGAAAGAATTTCCTTACTCCATTTATTATAATTGAATTGAGAAATCTGAATTTACACAAAATTAATAGGGACATTTCTGTTTGATTAAGATACTCTCTCCTTAGTGTATTTCATAACAAAATTGTAGTGATATTCTGAACTGGGGAGTTGTGTTTGTCCTGAGAAATTTGTGTTCTGGGAAAGGGATATTGTTGCTTCAGTTATTCAGTTATTTGCCCCATTACTGCAGGGTTCCTGTTTTGTTTATTTTAGATAGTTCATTTTGACACTTAGATAAACAGAAGCCAAACACACAAGTGTACCCAGAAATAGTCCCTGAACTTCATTCCAGGGTAAAGATAAGGCATTTAGACTTCTCCAGTACAGATAAAGATATTACAACTACTGAAAAATAAGTGTTATGTGACTGTTGGATTGTTTAGATATAGAATGATAGTGAAGGTTCCAGAAAAATTCTTGCTTTTAAGAGATAAATTAGGGTTGTGATCTTGTGACAATAAAATACTTCTATAATATGAATGAAAAGTATTTAAATTTCTCTGAATTGTGGTGTCTTTTAGCTTTTTACTGTGTCTGCCCTTTTAAAAGTGGACTGAGATATAAACTGCATGTGTTTAAACTGTACAGTTTATGAGTTTTTGTAATTTTACATGTTCATGGAACTCTTGCCACAGTAGATTTTCATCATTTTCCCAAGATTCCGTGTGCCCCTCTACAGTCTGTTTCCCATCAGCTCCTACCTGTCTCCCCTACCCCTAGCAGGAGGCCACACTGATCTGCTTTAGGTTACTTTGTATTTACTAGGATTTCATGGGAATGGAATCATATTATATGTACTCATATGTGTGCCATCTTTACTCAGAACAATGATCTTGTGGCTGATCCATATTGTTGTATGTATCAGTAATCTATTCCTTTTGCTGCTTAGTATTTACTTATATGGATATATGAGGTATACTTCAAAAAGTTCATGGACAATAAATAAAAGATAAGTTTATTTTGGTGCAAAAAAATCCTGAAATCTGGGGGATGGGTGGCATTGTGCTGCAATGGGTTAATCCACTGCTTGATACAACCACATCCCATATCTCAGTGCTGTATTCAAGTCCTAGATACTCTATTTCTTTCTTTATTTTATTTTTATTTATTTTTTTATTTTTTGACAGGCAGAGTGGAAAGTGAGAGAGAGAGACAGAGAGAAAGGTCTTCCTTTTGC